TGTGTGTGTGTGTGTGTGTGTGTGTGTGTGTGGTGTGTGTGTGTGTGTGTGTGTGTGTGGTGTGTGTGTGTGTGGTGTGGTGTGTGTGTGTGTGTGTGTGTGTGTGTGTGTGTGTGTGTGTGTGTGTGTGTGTGTGTGTGTGTGTGTGTGTGTGTGTGTGTGGTGTGTGTGTGTGTGGTGTGTGTGGTGTGTGTGTGTGGTGTGTGTGTGTGTGTGTGTGTGTGTGTGTGTGTGTGTGTGTGTGTGTGTGTGTGTGTGTGTGTGTGTGTGGTGTGTGTGTGTGTGTGTGTGTGGTGTGTGTGTGTGTGTGTGTGTGTGTGTGTGTGGTGTGTGTGTGTGTGGTGTGTGTGTGTGTGGTGTGTGTGTGTGTGTGGTGTGTGTGTGTGTGTGGTGTGTGTGTGTGTGTGGTGTGTGTGTGTGTGTGGTGTGTGTGTGTGTGTGTGTGTGTGTGTGTGTGTGTGTGTGTGTGTGTGTGTGTGTGTGGTGTGTGTGTGTGGTATGGTGTGGTGTGTGTGTGTGGTATGGTGTGGTGTGTGTGTGTGGTATGGTGTGGTGTGTGTGTGTGGTATGGTGTGTGGTGTGTGTGTGTGGTATGGTGTGGTGTGTGTGTGTGTGGTGTGGTGTGGTGTGTGTGGTGTGGTGTGTGTGTGTGGTGTGGTGTGTGTGTGTGGTATGGTGTGGTGTGATGTGTGTGTGGTGTGGTGTGATGTGTGTGTGGTGTGGTGTGTGTGTGGTATGGTGTGGTGTGGTGTGATGTGTGTGTGTGGTATGGTGTGGTGTGTGTGTGTGGTATGGTGTGGTGTGATGTGTGTGTGGTGTGTGTGTGGTGTGTGTGTGGTATGGTGTGGTGTGGTGTGTGTGTGTGATGTGTGTGTGTGGTGTGTGTGTGTGGTGTGGTGTGTGTGTGTGTGGTGTGTGTGTGTGGTGTGTGTGTGTGTGGTGTGTGTGTGTGGTGTGTGTGTGTGTGGTGTGTGTGTGTGGTGTGTGTGTGTGTGTGTGTGTGTGTGTGTGTGTGTGTGTGTGTGTGTGTGTGTGTGTGTGTGTGTGTGTGTGTGTGTGTGTGTGTGTGTGTGTGTGTGTGGTGTGTGTGTGTGTGTGTGTGTGTGTGTGTGTGTGTGTGTGTGTGTGGTGTGTGTGTGTGTGTGTGTGTGTGTGTGTGTGTGTGTGTGTGTGTGTGTGTGTGTGGTGTGTGTGTGATGTGTGTGTGATGTGTGTGTGATGTGTGTGTGATGTGTGTGTGATGTGTGTGTGATGTGTGTGTGATGTGTGTGTGGTGTGTGTGTGGTGTGTGTGTGGTATGGTGTGGTGTGTGTGTGGTATGGTGTGGTGTGGTGTGGTGGGATGTGGGTCTGTGTGTGTGTGTATGTCTCATTTACGTCACTAAGATGTGTGTCTCGAGAACGAGAACTACATAATTCTCCTTACAAAGATTAAAAAAAAAAAAAAATTAAGACAGGCCTACTGAATAACCTATCAGTAAACGGTACTAAACGGTGCTCGTGACTCGCCGGTGTTTCCAAGGTCGATGGACCTTGGGTGCTTCCATCCGTTAACCTGTATCTGCACCCGCCCCGCACTGCGGGCAACCGCGGGACCCCAACTCACGGACCACCGTCTCCAGAGTCCTTTTTTCAGCTGCTTATGGACGGGTGGTAGCATAGTACTTTTATAATTTTGTTACTGTCAGGTGATATGACTTTTGATATTAAATGCAAAAGAACGCAATAAGAAATGTTGCTTCATCAAAACCAAATTTCAAACATAACTGCTAGCATTATAACCGTGACTTATCTATGCTTCATACAAATTTACTATTTTTTTACCTACTACTACAGAAACAAACTTTATCAAAGAAGACAATGTCTTCACGACTACTACTTCAAACAACAACCATTAAATGTGACACACCACAAAAAATATTTTGAAAGATATGCACGCAAGCCACTTCAGAGTAATCTGGGAATAGTGGGTTATACCATTTAGAAAATACTGCGCAATGCTGTATATCAAGTCATGCAAAACCTTACATTTATATTTCGTATTAAAATGGCAAGCACACTGTAGCTACATAGGCAGCATGGTGCTTGCAGAATAAAAAACAAGCAGGCAGTCACAAGCTGAGCACATACTCACCCAATGTCGCTGGCGAGGTAGTGCCCGTGGCATTAACATCCAGCGAGCAGGAACCTATGCTGTCCACGGAAGTGGTCTGTGTTGAGAGCGGCTGAGCCATAGATGCCATTGGGTGTAAGGTGGAGGATAAAAGGCTCGTGTGATTGTTGTTAAAATGGTGGCTGTTGTTATTGTTATTATTGTTGTTGTTGTTGTTGATTATGTTGATATTGCTGTTGTAGCTGCTGTTGCTACAGTGGTGGTGGGGCAATGGCGGCAGGGGGGGCCAAGTCCCGCCCTTCCACCCCGCTCGGCAATGGCTTCGGTTGACCAAGTTTAGCGTGTGGGGTCGCTGCGCCGTGACGGTGGGTCGAGTACTGCAAGGGGG